AACTGATTGTTTCTGATTGGCAATTAAAATTAATGATTCAACCCAATAAACAAAAAAGCGTGTTTATACTAACAATGACTTCCTTGCTTGCGCATTTTTCCATTAAAAGTCATGACTTCTTTCCTTCTAAATGAATTACATCATCACCTACGCATTTTTTGTGGCATTGACGTAAATCATTATATAGAAGTGACGCTATCGCCGACTCAAATTGTCTGGTGAAAATGTTAGAGTATCTATTTACGCTCAGAGGGTCAACCATTCAGAACTCACTTTTTACAGATATAAAATTAGATAAAAAGTAATCGTTTTTTGAAAAACTTCAATAAAAAACACTTGAAATTCTTGTCGAACAAAGAAAACGTATGAATTCTCATTAATTTCCTTATTGAAGGAATAGATGTCAGTTTTTTCCAGATTATTTTTTGGAAGTTTTTATTGTCGAAATTAAAGTTCGCCGATTAAACAAACATACAAACATTGATCTCGGGAAACTTAATTTATCAATGATTTTACTTTGAACGAAGTTTTGTTCATCAAAGCTTCAAACTTAAGGCTAAGTTACATTTGACAAGAACAGAATTTTTTCTCTAGAAAAATTGTTTATAACTAAAAACTATTATGATACAGATTCAAACACTCTTTTTATTCCCTACCCAAATAACCTAAATGTGTTGAAACTTCAATTTAACAATACTCTTTTTTAGGAAAGTCTGTTTTGATTGGCCAAACCTACACATTTGAAATGAAGGTACCTCTCAGTCTTGAAAAAAAAACTAATTTTATTTTTTTAGTCGGCTATGGACATCAACGATAATCAAATCAGTTGTACACGTCGTCAATCACCAATTGCATTCTCTTTACTCTACTCTCAGGTCCTGATTCAAACAATGTTCTCCTCATTCCAGCAAAAAAAAATTTTCTCAGCCGTCTTTTCTCCTGATTCGGTTCAAAAACAAAAACGGGACTCAGCTTCTGGAATCTTTCGTATCCAATTGAATCTCCCATCCCAAATGTGGCACAAGGTTGAAGTCACGAGGAGAGACTTCAGTGAGTATCACCAGAGTTCAGAATCAACTGGGAATGATGAAGATAATGTCGAAGATTGCAGGACGCGTTGGGATGAACTTGGGATGCAAAATGGTGGGACGCAAAAATTTTGAGAGCCCAGTTGCTCGACAGCTCTCCGAGTTGTACATGATTTGGTTGTCCACCTTTGCTTTGTGTATTTTTTCCAAATAGGGTTTATAATTTTAGGAGATAGAGATAAACAAATCTAAGAAACTTATAAGAACATTTTAAGACACTTTAAAAAAATTTCAAGAGAGAAAGTTAAATTTCTAAAACTGTGCTAAAATGTTGCAAATAGGTTTTAAAATCAACACAGTTTTTACAATTTGCAATTTTTTCTCAACTTTCGCACATGGAAAAAAAATTCGCTCTATTTTTTTGCAGTTAAACAAGTACAACGATTACTTTTGTTTAAAAAATGTTTTCTCAAAGTTATTGTATTCTGGACTTAAAGTAAGATATAGATTTAAAGTGGATAGTGTCGCAAGGGTCGTTAGACTTATTTAATTCAATTGAGAGTTCTTACTATTTTTGATTTTGAATCAACAGTTATGCGTACTGGTAGAGAGTTCGAGTGTAAATCAACAGCATTGGACCATTAGTCGCAATTCAAAGGCTGAAATTTAATTTGATGGAGTTTGAAAAGACATCCAAAATGAACTGATAATCAGATAAAATTAAGTTGTAAAATATTTAAAGTACAAAGTTCTTTTGAAAATTTACAGTAAGAGAAGAAATGATGTTGTACTATTGATCTTGAAAGAGACTAAGCAAAAAAATTATATTATAAAAGTTGAAACTAGTTTTGACTGAGACTCTGAGGTCCGAATTAGGTTTAATTGTTGTCAAAAATAGGAACTTGAAAGAAATTTTCTGTATAGTTTTTAGCTTATTATAGTAGCGAAGAGCAAAATTGAATATGAAACTCCGTACGCTCAAGATTGATTTTCATTTTTTGGTAACAATCACCAATGTTTTTGGTTGATGTCAATCAACAAGGTTCGTTCTCGGCAAAAGTTTAGACTTTATAATTTTTTTTGAAAACGCTTTCAATAATGCTCCAGCAAGAAGAATGGCAATTCCAATAAAAACTCAGTCGGCTGGTGCTGGATAATTTCAAGAAAGACCATTAGATTATAATCAATTGCATTTGAGAGAATTTAGAATTATGCGAGGTTAAAGCCATTTGTTTCATTAGGTACAACTTTTCACTGTTGCTCCTTTATTACAACAATGAAAGCAATGCATTTTAATGAAGGTTTTACATCTTTTTTTTGGAAAGAATTTCGAAAACACTATAATCTAGATTTTGACTTGACTTCAATACAAGATGCGGCTGAACAGTTGCGTTATACAGAAATTGGTTCAATTTTTTCTTTTCAGATATTAGTTTAAAAATAATCCTGAGACTTGAATGCTCGATTTGACAAAACTTACTTCTCTGCTGATTCTTTGCGTAGAAAGAGATCACTTTACTTTTTTCTAACAAAACAAGTATCGACGAATGGCTTGCCGAAAGCTACAAAAATCTAATGATAAATTTTAGCAGTTTAGTCAGCATTTCGTCCTTTAAATTCTTCCAGGAAACTCAAAGAAAATTCAAAACTGTGCATTTTTTGATTTTTGTTTGTAAATTTATGTAACAATAGAAAACTTTATGTTCATTAAAAATTTTGGCAGCAAAATTATAACACGATGCAATTATTTTTTACTGTCTTTGTAATTTAATGTTTGTTTTTCTCAAAGTTTTTGATTTTATCGAAGCTCCAGATGATTTCATTTGAATTTACATCTTGTAAAGAAGTCAATTTTAAAAGGTAACACTCTACAAATGATCAAATACTATTAAAAACAAATTTCACCATAATTTAGCTTTTTGATAAAAAAATTTAAGAAAAAACTCATTTTTTTTTGTGCAAAAACTTAGCATTGACTTAAGAAAACAAATTACGATGACTTCTTTACACGTAAAAAACCAGTGATATCTACCAGTTAGATAGCGCGAAAAAAATTTTTCAAAAAAATGAGTTTTCTACACAAAAACCACGAAAACCTCTTTTTTCTTACTATTGTCCAAGCACATATACCTTACCAATTCTATTCCCTAACTTATAAAATTATCATATTCTACAATTTTATACTTGCTTTTACAAATGGATCAAGAAAGATCATTATCTGAAACGCTAAATAACCAATACTTGCATTTAAAGGATCAATTTTATCAATTAAATGAACCTAACTTGTTACACTGTTTCTGTCATTGGATTCTTCGTAACATTTTGTCAAACAGCTAGAGAACATGTATGTCATAAAAATGTTTTTTCAAACATAATAAATCAGTTTACAATTTCACACAATTAAGCACACATATGCTATATTTCGATTCAATGGAATAAGATAAATTTTGTTCAATTACTTGATTCGAGAATTGCATTGTATTTGCTCGTCTCCTGTTGGCTCCCAGCCATTACAAACTATCCTTGCAAAATGATCTTCGTTTATAGCATCAAGCAGTAGACCATGTGCATTGAGAAATATAATTTCTTCATCAAATGGTCCATTGGGTTCATCTGTAAAATTTACAAAACGATCATGAAATTCTTACGTATTTTTTTCCTGCAAAATTTTTTTAACACATAATCCGACTTTTTTATACCTTCTTGTTATGATCTACACATAAAAATGTAATCATCCCACAGAAAACAACTAAAAGGCATATAAGTTGTCCTCGACCTCCTCTTGTTGCTTTCAATTCACTGAAAACGCGTTCAAAAAGCAAAAGCTGATCTTTCATATGCAAATTTTAATTTCAACTTGTGCTTTTGTCAATAATCCATTAAATGTAATAATTTTGGATCAACTCCATCCTTGGGATAAATTAGGATTCGAAAATATCCAAAAAAGGATTCTACCGACTTACTTGTAGACCAAGGCATACCACAGTCGTACATCTTCACGTATTCATTGGTTTCCTTGCTGATCAGCTGTTGGGTATTCCAATTCAATTCAAAACCAGTCCAAAACCAGGAAGGACCCAGAGGCTAGGTAGAATCAACAATACTCATTTTGATATAAATTTTTATATGAACGCGCATTTTCCGATTTCTATGGCTCCGTGGGAAATTTCATTTAGTTGTTTTTTTTTACAAAAAAAATCTAATGCAAAATAATTACTTGAAAAGGAACAATAAACCCACAGCGCATCATTGAGTAGAGACAAAAAGACGCAAAAAGGTTGATGTTTTCAAAAATGACTTAGCTTTAACTTAAAAGCAACTATTCGACTATTCGATAAATTTTAGTTGCTTATAAGCAACTATTCATTATCTGCGTCCTTCCACCTTTATGTGAAGGTTGAGCCGGGGTAAAATCAGCTGAAAATTGAAATTAATCAAGAATACCTAAAGAATACATCTTAACGTTTATCATTCTTTTTGCCCAAGGGGAACATTTTGATTTAAATTGTTCCCCATAATTTATTGATATAAAATGAGTATTTGCTCCAAATTTTTGATAAAATGTAGCTTGTGCTTAAAAAATATGACATAAGAAATCGAAAAACGAAAAAAGTTTTCAGATATGATTTTTGTATTATGCCGAATTGTTCGCACGAAAGCTCTTTTCCCATATTTACTGCAAGTTGTGAATAATCTAATATTAAAAAACAATCGAAACCGTTTTCTCTGTCCCAAAAAAATTATCTGATTTGCTTACAGAGGACAAAAAATCTCCCGTGGCGCTGTAAGAACCAGTGAAAAGGGTCGAATTGACGGCTTGACAAGCTTTTTTTGCCTGCATTCGACTGTTTGTGGTTTTTTGCAACTGAACAGCGCGTTTTTTCAAAGATTTCACGACATAACAATCGCAATCGGCTGACACGTCATTTTTAGTCAAAAAATTCAAACGCTCTTTGTAGTAGCAAGCTCGTATTTGCTGTCGGGTTATGACCACTCGTGAAATTGATCCACAAGGATTGGCAGTTACATCTTCCCATGCCGACCATTCGTAGCTGGTTTTACTGTCGAGATCACAAACTCCAGAATCAGGTTGCGATACTCCGTTGACGAAACATTGGAAGTCCGGAGGAGCCGCGTGGTAGATCTGATCAACACTGAAATAAAGCAAAAAAATAAAGAGATACTCTTAAAGACACTATTTAAAGAAAATAATACTATTGATTTTACTTGTTGAAACAAGTTTAAAGTTGTCTTCAATTTTTAAAATAACTGTGAATCTGAAAAAAAAATTAGGGTTCGTTTTGCCTAGGCGATAGCGTGGCATAGAACCTAGGCAAAACAGTTTATTAGTTTTTGGTAGTTATTGCACAAAATTTTACTAGAGACTTAGCTAAAGCTGCTACCTGTTCGATAATTATTGTTTTGTTATACTGATGCGGGTGGAAATCTAACAAAAAAAATTTCCAAAAAAAATTTCAAATAAACTTCGAAACTTAGGATATATCCACTCATGCACAGATGCTTTTCTCAGGATGTTGCCACGATTAAATAATTGATTTGGTTAAGTTTTTATCGTTAAGAGTAAAAAAATGCACAAGAAATCAAAACATTGACTTTTCTGAGAGCCATAATTTTTGCCTGATTGAAATCAAATTCTCAGATTTGAGAGGCTAGTTTTTGATAAAAAAAAGTTTCAAAAACGGTCAAAAACTGACTATAATAAGTTTTTCTGGAAAAAAACTGAGACGCATAGCCGCATATGCAGAGTACTTCACACAACATGTTTAAGAGTGATGAACGTTGTGAGTACTCTTGTATAAGTCTTCCTGATTTTTTTCTATTAAACTCAAAATTTCAGCTTTGGGAGGTTGATGTTCGAGAAAAAAATCAACAAACGTCACAAAAATGACTTTTCCGAGGACGATAAATTTCTTTTGGTACAACTATTAAAAATATTCGGCCATAGCCGCTATTCCCATAACCCTTTTTCTACATTGAACCCAAAATTTTGAATTGGGTCGGTATTTTTTAAGAGAAATTCAATTCTCAGATTTGGGAGGCTAATTTTTGAGAAAAACTATAAAATTTCAAAAACGGTCAAAAACTCTAATAGTTCACTTATTTTGGTTATAATAAGTTTTTCTGAAACGGAGAAAAGCGTAGACGCTTTTGCAGAGAGTTTCACAGAACCTGTTTAAGAGTAATGAACGAAGTGTACTCTTATGTAAGTCTCGCTGATTTTTTTTTCGATTGAACTCAAATTTTCACGGTTGGAAGGTTCATTTTCCAAAAAAAATTCAGAAAATGGTCAAAAGTCACACACTTGACCTTTCCGAGGACCATAATTTTCTTTTAGTACAAATAATAAAAAGTATTTGGCCATAGTCGCTATTGCAGGAGAGCTTATCACAACTCTTTCTCTCCATTGAACCCAAAATCTCAGTTTTGGTTCGGTATTTGTCGAGAGAATTCAAAAAGATTCAAAACGGTCAAAAGTCTATTAATTGACTTTTCTAGGGACCATACAATTTCATGGAAAAACATTTTCTCATGCAGGAGAGCTTCCGAAAACCCACCCTTTCAATTGAAATTAAAATCTCAGATTTGCGTGTTTTCCAGAAATTTGGACGTCGTTGGTTTTCCGGAGAGCTTCTCTCAACCCTTTCTTTGGTTGAACCCAAAATCTCAATTTGCAAAGGTAATTTCCGAGGAAATTCAAAAAGTTTCAAAACGGTCAAAGTTTGGGTGCAATTTTTTAAATGGTATCAAACTTTTTCATTTAAAAATGGCAAAACCGAATTTAAAAACATATCTGAAATCCACGCCTAGCAAAAAAAATCTCCCTAAGGCTTCAGAAAAACTCTCCCACATAAACACATTTTTGCAAAAAAAGCAATGGACTTGTCTACACGCTCTATAAATATTCGCCCACAAATAAATAGTGAAACAATGAGAGAGAAAATCCCACATAATTGCACTCTTACAAAGAACTTCTCGCAGTTATTTGTTTCCGAAACTTTGTCTTCAAAGTTCAATTGAAAACGAATTTGCATGAGCATCAACTAACTGATATAAAATATATATAAAATTATTGAAAAGCCATAAAGTATTAACAAAACTCTGACATATTGTTTGCTAATTTTGAATCAAAAAACAAAACGAGCGAATATGAGTATGCAACGCTTAAGCACTAGAATTTTGTCCAGAAAAAAAAAACACAAAACTTACGCCAAGGTATTAATTACCCGCGGAGCAAATAAATGGTTGATGGCCTTCAAGGAGTTGGTCAAATTTTACGTTAAGAAAAAAGATTAAAAAACGCTGGAATTTTTAGCCATGGGACATGGACTTTGCATAATTTAAGTTTCAAGCGATTAATTACTTGATATGTTTTTGTACGTTTTTCTGTTTGACTTTACATCTGCTGGAGATTCACGATTCCAATTTTGACAGGTGATAGTTGAAACTGATTTTGTAAAGAAACTTGACTGATAAACAAAGTCATAAAAAATTCAGATTGTGCTCTGGTCATTAAGTAGAGGACGTCAGGGAGGTGTTCCCAGAGCCAAAAAAAAAACGCTTAAACAGATGAAGCTCTTTCATTTTTCAAGCTACAATCTAAGTCGGCTCAATTTATGTGTTCCTTCTTATAAGAAACAATTTAAATTTTTGATAGACTCTTAGACAGAATAAGGTTGAAAATTCGACAATTTTAAAGTAAAAATCAGAAAAGCAGAGTAAGGATTTTATTTTGTAGCTCAGTACTTCTTTGTATTTGTATCCCTTTTTAGTAAAAAGGAAACTATTTAAGGCCATAGCTTAGATCTATAGCTTTCTCTTAAAACGAGCACTTTTAAGTCCAACGTTTGCAACACGGTCTGCTGCTTACGATGACACCATTATGACGCCCTCTACTTAAATGGCCAAACAATGCCTGGAAAAAAAAGACTTTAATCTATAGGAATCGTATAGAAAACAAATGAATAGTGAGAAGTTTTATTCTTTTAATCTCTTGAAAAACAAAAGTGGCAAATTTTATCTCCGGTGACTGTCTAAGCAGTATAATTGCGGATCAGAATCACATTTGTTTTTTGAACGCTTTGGCAGATCGATGAAAACTTTTCAATTGAGATAATCTAAAAAGTTCACATAAATGACATATGAAATGTAATTTTTCACGCAGATTTAGTTCTAATAGAATACGAACAATTTATGATTCCAGTGGTTGCTAGATAGCTCCCTTAATTACTTTTGTCTGAATTATCTAATCAAATGAATTTCTTTTACCTTTGATGCACTTCATAGTTGTAGTTGTTGTTGCTGTGCCCTTGGTCTGTTTGAAGACATCTTTGATTGTAGTTACCTGTTATTTTGCAGAAAAAGCACATTAGTAAACTTTTTGAAAATTGTTCTGAACCAGACCGATAGCGTGATTAAAGAAATTCTTAAAGTGTTGGTTCTACAGCTACTACACTCTTGGATCTTCTTATCATGACCAAAGTCGTGGTTGAATGACATGGCTATTGCGACCAAATTTCAGTAAGCTTAGGTAGCTCTTGATACAATAAAAAGCTAGTCATGCACTTTTTGATAATGAGCTTCTGAAAAGTTTTTAGTCATACAACTTCTCACATTGAATTTTGTATGACTCAGAACTTTTTCAAAAAAAAATTACATTGAAAAGTGTTTTTTGAATTAAATATAGGCGATTTCTTGATTGATTTACAACATGTTATCAGAACTAAATTTAAAGTCTACAATCTGCAGAAACAAAAACTGATTTTTTTTGCAAAAAAAATGTTTTCATAATTTATGAAAACATACTCTTAACATATGAAAAAAAATTTGGGGATACGTTTTTTTGTTTAAAATAGATTTTTCCCCTTCTGTGTTTTTTTTATGATAAGATAAAGCTTAAGTCTGCCAAAAATAGCCCGGGTATCGAAAATCCTGAAGCTTTTAAAGATTGCAATTAAATGTACGCAAATTTTTTTAAAGTTGTGTGGGTAATTCCAATTTATTTTTTTACGGCGAATATCAAATTGCAGTTTACCTATATATTAATTTCGCACTTAATCAGAGGTTTTCTCAAATCGACAAACCTTTGATTTTTGTGTTCAAAAACTAGGCCAAATTCTCATCAATTTCAATTTAAGGAGAAAATTTTGCCCACACATTTTCATACAAAGAGAAAAACTTGTAACACATTTACAATGAGAAAATGCTAGTCGCACTAATTTTTTACAACCACAAAATGGTAGTCGTGGAGTTACCAACTAATTTTTGGACACGTGAAGTGCTTTTTTGATATGTGAATTTGCATGACTACTATTTTCTAACAACCCAGGCCCGCAGACAGTCGCGACGAAAACTTAGCATTTCCAATTTTTATAGACTGATGAGATCTGTCCGCGACCGACGCAACCCAGGAAGTCTTTTCCGCTACCAGTGTCATGAAATAATAGCCATGGCTCGCTTTAAGAAAAATTGACCGCGAATTAAGTGTACAAATCAGCTCTACACCCCAGACGCTTAAGGATGCTAACACAGTTCATTCATTACATTTTGCTTCACTCATTCCTGTCATTCCAGTAGTTTCGCTCTTTCAGTTTGTCAGCTGTTCTTCCGATTCCAGGCTGATTTATACACTGGTGCAATGTGTTTTTGTTTCATTCAATCATACAAACTTTAAACTTAAATTTGAAGTAATCTTCGTTCCTTCTTCCAATTATAAATTTTCTTTTTGTTTTCCTTATACATTTTTAGGAGCAACTAGGAATTTCTTTGACTAATTTTATGTTTCAAGAGGATAGTAAAATTAGATTTCTACAATTTATGCATCTTAAGCATTATATTCTGTTATCGATGTTTTTATGTCAACTTCTTAAAAAAATTCAATTGTCAGATGAAAGATATTGACACATGTTTTAATTGAAAAATTTGTTAACACCAATCCGAGTTAACATATTTATCACCCATTACAGATGAAATTCTTCCTCTAATATAACTTTCGCTCCGCTCATTATAATCATTTCATTCGTTTCACTCATTTACTTTGCTAGCTGTCATTTTAAGCCCAGGGTGTAATTTTAATTAATACACTACTGCAATAGGCTTATTCTCATCCAATCATACAAATTTTTAGGTTAGCATGGAATTATTATTGATTCGTACATGCAATTTCAGATTTCCTTTAAATCATGCTTCTTTTTTTCGTATTTCTGGATTATTTAGAGAAGCAACAGGGAATTTTTTTTGTTTATTTGTTCATCAGGATACTAAAATTCAACTTCTAACAGAATGATTTAACATCAGCACTATGAAACCCGTTAGATAGAGTACACTAAATTAATTCCAGACGAATAATTACATAGCAGTTTCTAGTGCACATTCTAGAAAACCATTGAATGTATTAGACAAAAACAAGGAAAAAAAAACTAGGGTGAATTTCAGTGAAAAAACAGTGATAATAGTTATAAAAAGAGATTGAAAAACAATGTAGATTGTGAAATAGTAAATCGCGACATTGAAAATAATGGAAGAGCTCATTATATTACCTTGTATGGAAAAAACAGTGTGGATTACCAATGAAATCAAATAAAGGCAGCTAAACAGGAAACTCAATTTGTTTTTGGAGAAAGGATAAATTATTTTCCGATTGGAAGTGCATACACAGATACCGATCCAAGAGTTAGCACGGATGATTACACTGAATTTATTAAGGCTAAGGAGGAAGGTAACGTAATGAAATCCTTGCTTTTCTGTTAAGTGAATTTACGTTACACCATCATCAGGGGATAAATTTAAAGAAAATAAGGAATTCGATCGAATCTCAACAATAATGAAAAAATTTACAAATTATGATCCTCACCATTAACAATTTTCTGCAAAGACTCGGTTAAGTTGGGAATGTAGTTAACAATTCTACCTTGAAAAACACTTCTAAAAAATTATGCTACAGAGAAGACAAAAAATTTATAAAAAACTTTTGGGCCTTAGAAAACCTATGAATTTTAATTAAAAAACTTCTGCATGATTTAACGCTAAAATCAAGCGATTTTTAAAACATATTTCACTCAACTACATCTAATGAAACAATTTTTTACTCTGACATTTTCTTACATATAAGTTACAGCTGATAACCTTTCAATACTAATACAAGCGGTTTTCACTAAATCTATAGTTGGCGGTTTTACAATAACATATGATGAACGGGTAACTGGTAGAAAACTTACAAGAAAACAAAGGGAAGCAGACGTTAAATTAGATGCATCAGGAAATATCATGCGCCGAATATGTTGGTGAATTTTTGTCCATAATAGAAATAAAAACACATTGTTATAGAGGAACTTCTAAGCAAAGTTAAAGTTTAAAATAGCCATATCAAATTTGGATATCATAAAATACAAGATACCAAAATGATTACAGAAAAGCCAAAATAATAAAACAATGAGCACATACAAAGCCAACCCAGCAAATGAATAATCAGTCTACTTGAATATGAAACAGAGTTGTAACACCTACTTCAAATGATAAACGAAGGAGTCTTTACAAAAAGGACATTAAAAAAACGCTAGACTACTAATCACATTGTAGTTGCCAGCACACCTTCTATTAGAATCATATAGTGTAACGGACATATACAAAAAAATAATGGCATATTTGGTTGAAAGAACAGTAAAAACCATGAGTGGAAATTGAGTATAAAAAAATATTATGTGAAATAGTAAATCTAGATGATGAAAAAAAGGGAGGCAACTCATTGGACTGAATTTTATGCGAAAATCAGTGCGATTTACTATTTTGATTGAATGTAGAGACCACCGGGTGATTTCTTGTTGAAGAGTCTATAAGCTATTTATTAGGATCACGAGAAATAGTTCTGTTCAATGCGGTTCTCAATGTTTTTTTTTGTATTTGATGTTTAAAGAAACAGTTTTGGTAACACAGTTCTCTAGATGAAGTTTGAATGAAAAGTTTGCAATAGTATGTACATTAAGAAATCTGTTTTTTTTACTCTCCAGTTTCGGGCTTTCTTTTTCCACTTTTGGTGTTTTGTTTCTCACAAACTTAACCATTCTTGCAACAAAAACATATGCTCGAGCATACTATATTGAAAGTTATTGAAGAAAACTTTTTACGACTTCATATTCGGTCAACATTTGCGTACATCCAAAAAAAGAACAAAAAAAGGAGTTTTTGATAATTGCAGAAAACGTTTACTGATGTAATGTTGTTATTATGAAAAAAGGAAGAAAAATTAAGTTTTCCAAACAATTTTGAAGCTCCAATTAGAGATTGATAACGTCTTGAATTATTTGGTGGACTAGAAACTCGTTAATCATACTTTAAAACACCAACAGGTCTATCTAGTTGCTTTGCGGTTGCTGTGTTTTACAATTTTACTGAATAATCAAACCCAAAATATGGGATTGGAGAGTATACCGTAAAAGCAAGATACTTGTTTTTTTTAGTGAGCCTTTAACTCTTTTGCTTTCGTTAAAAAACAGTTTTGGAGACTTTTTTGGATAAGTTGATGGAATTTATTGGATTGCCAATTAAACTGAAACATGACAAAAAATTTGAATGATTGCGATTGGTCTGAAACTTTAATTTATTTCAGAAAAGCATAGTAAGATAATAGTTTTTTCAGATTTAAATTGGGTTGGGCATTTAGATGGATAGAAAGAAATTTTCACTGCTAATTATCTTTCTGGAAGATCCCACATCCAATCTTGAAGAACGTGGTCTAACTGAAATTGATTTCAAAACTATTCGAAAAATTACTTGAATTTTGATTTAAAAATAACCAAAACATTTGAGATCAAAATTGAAGGTTTTTGCAAATTTAGATCACTTCTTTGAAGATAGATATGGGATCTTCCAGAAATGTCATGAACAGTGAAAAACTTTTTCTATCCATACATGTTCTCAATCGTACTTAAAACTGAGAAAATTATAATTTCCTTTTTTTCTCAAATAAATTCTAGTTGCCGACCGGTCACAACCATTCATTTTTTTGTCCTGTTTCAACTAAATTGGCAATCTATTGATTTCCGTTAAACTATCCAAAAACAAGTCTCCAATTTAGTTTTCTAACCAAAGTAAAAGAACTAAATGCTCACTTAATTGACAAATATCTTGTTTCTATGGTATACTCTCCAAGCCCATTTGTTGGGCATGCTTCAGTATAATTGTAATACACACCAACCGGGTTAGCATTTAGATGGAACTGTACCAAATTTGGTGTTGTGAAATTTGATTCAAGAAATTCTGGTTCAACAATCATTCCACCAAATTTTTAAGAGCCCATATATTTCATATTGCTGATTCAAAACTGTTTACTAAAAAAAATTTATTCTT